CCATGCTCTAAGAATATAGCAGTGGTAATATATTACCAACCACCTGACCAGGATGGTGATAGTGACTGTGAAATGCTCAGGGAGATTAGAGAGGCTATACAAATTTTAAAAATTTCAGAAATAAAGGGGGATTTAAACTATCCCCATATTGACTGGGTATGTGTCACCTCAGGACAGGATGCAGATGTCAAATGAAGTGTAAAATGTAATTAGGAAGGCCAAAAATATGTGAAGAACAGATAGTTAAAAACTCAGAAAGTAATAGAAAAACTTTCTTTAAGTGCATCAGAAGCAGGAAGCCTTCTAAACAACCAGTGGAGCCACTGGATAGTCAAGATGCTAAAGGAGCACACAAGGCGATAAAGTCATTGTGGTGAAACAAAAGTAATTCTTTGCATAGATCTTCACGGTGGAGGATGTGAGGGTGATTTTCAAACATGAGCCATTCTTTTTAGGTGACAAATCTGAGGACCTGTCCCATATTGAAGTGTCATCAGAGGAGGATTTGGAACAAATTGATAAACTAAACAGTAATATGTCCTCAGGACCAGATGACATTCACCAAAGAGTTCTGAAAGCTGCAATGTGAAATTGTGGAACTATTAGCTTTGAACTGAACTAATTAATCAAGATTAGAAAGGCAAAGGCACAAAACAAGCTCAAACTAGTACGGACATAAAGAGAAACAAGAAGACATTTTATATTTATATTAGAAGGAAAAGGAAGACCAAGGACAGGGTAGGTCCACTGCTGAGTGAAGAGGGAGAAACAGTAAAAGGAAACTTGGAAATGGCAGAGGAACTTAATGACTTCTTTGTTTTGATCTTCACCGAGAAGTCTGATGATGAAGGAATGCCTAACATTGTGAATGCTAGTGGGAAGAGGGTAGGTTTAGAAGATAAAATAAAAAAAGAACAAGTTAAAAATCACTTAGCAAAGTTAGATGTCTGCAAATCACCAGGGCCTGATGAAATGCATCCTAGAATACTCAAGGAGCTGATAGAGGAGGAGGCCTTTAGCGATCATATTTGAAAAATCATGGTAGAAGAGATTCCAGAAGAGATTCCAGAAGACTGGAAAAGTGCAAATATAGTGCCTATCTATAAAAAGGGAAATAAGAACAACACAGGAAATTACAGACTAGTCAGTTTAACTTCTGTGCCAGGAAAGATAATGGAACAAGTAATTAAGGAATTCATCTGCAAACACCTGGAAGATAATAAGGTGATAAGTAATAGACAGCATTAATTTGTAAAGAACAAATCATGTCAAACCAAACTGATAGCTTTCTGTGATAGGATAATGAGTCTTGTGGATAATGGAGAATCGGTGGACGTGGTATATCTAGACTTTAGTAAGGCATTTGATAAGGTCTCGCATTATATTCTTATCAATAAACTAGACTAATACAACTTAGATCGGGCTACTATAAGGTGGGTGCATAACTAGCTGGATAACTATTCTCAGAGGCTACATCTACACTGGCATGATTTTCCGGAAATGCTTTTAACAGAAAAGTTTTCCATTAAAAGCATTTTCGGAAAAGCGTCCGTGACCAATCTAGACGCACTTTTCCGCAAAAAAGCCCCGATCGCCATTTTTGCATTCGGGGCTTTTTTGAGGAAAACAAATCCCTGCTGTCTACACTGGCCCTTTTGCGCAAAAGTTTTTTGGGAAAAGACTTTTGCCTGAACAGGAGCAGCATAATATTTCCGCAAAAGCACTGACAATCTTACATGAGATCGTCAGCCTCTGAGGCACCTGGCATTGGCTGCTGTCAGAAGACCGGATACTGGGCTAGGGGGACCTTTGGTCTGACCCAGTGTGTCTGTTCGTATGTTTTTAAAGGCATCTTTATATTGGTATAATTGTGTCCACAGTAGGGACAGTACTGAGAGAACTATTTTGGTTAAAAAGAACAAAAAAGAAAACGTAGCCCCTTAATAGAAATAGTTATGCAGGTACAAAAACTTTGGTTTGACCAGGTCTAGGATTATTTAGACAGTTGCAATATACAATATTTTGAAACTAATCCTGAATAAATAGTTGCAGGGCATAGCAATTACCATCATGAATAGAGACAAGCAAGGGCACAAAGCACTATGGTTTTATGGATATCTGGAGGATCAAGACCTTAGTTTGTAGTTCTGTAAGATTACAGAAGTGTTTAATACTTATATTAATTAAAGTCACTACTCAGATAGCCCCCACAGTGGTTTAGGTGCTTTGCAGAAAAGGTAAGAAGATAATCTAGCCCATTGGTTCTCAACTTATAACACACTGTGAGCTGTTGCCTCATATCCTGCTTACAGTGTGCAACTTGGCTGCAGGAGTGGGTGGCCGGGCAGTGGCAGCTTGGACCCAACCCTGGGTCTCCACCACAGAGAGCTGGCCAGCTTCCAGCTATAAGCAAAGGTAGAGGATTTGCCGTTACACCGGCAGAATCTGTTTGCCAAAAAGACTGATCAAGTCCTCCACTCAGCAAGGATTCAAGGATGACTCTGAGGACTCTTGGCACGTACACGCCACCATACTGTCGCAAACGTTACATGCCACATTAAAAGCAAAGGCCTTTTTCATACTCCACACCCAGAAACAGGCAGTATGAACCACAACAGCGGGGGAAACCACGCCAACAGAAACGTCATCCTCAGATGGGTAGCCAGGCAGCCAGTTTGATGGTCTGGTCGAGGGACTGCAGATCATTCCCCTGAAATGTCACCTGGAATCACAGAAGCTGTTTCACAATCGTCTACGACCGTACCAACAGAGATGGTTTGCCATCACCACTGACCGTTGGGTCCGAGAGCTAATAACATCCGGCTACACGATACCACTTCTCTCTCTTCCCTCTACTTCTCCCCCATTCCCATCCCTCTTCAGGGACCCATCTCATGAGGCTTTCCTAATGCAGGAGGCTCTACGCCTTATACATATCGGGGCCGTGGAGTTAGTGCCCAAGCAATTTCAGGGAAAAGGATTTTATTTTTGTTACTTTCTCACTGAGAAAAAATCAGGGGGATGGAGGCCTATCCTGAACCTTTGACGGCTCAATCGATATCTACAAAAACACAGGTTCAAGATGGTGACATTAGCTTCTATCATTCCAGCGCTCAACACGGGAGATTGGTTTATGTCCCTTGATTTGCAGGCCGCTTATTTCCATGTGATGATACATCCAGCACACAGATGCTTCCTGAGATTCGCCATAGGCACGGAACACTTGCAATACAGAGTCTTTCCATTCAGCCTATCTTTGGTGCCCAGGGTCTTCTCAAAGACACTATCAGTAGTCGCCGTGTTCCTACACCGCCAAGGTATCATGATATTTCCATACCTGGATGATTGCCTAATCAAGGCACCTACTTACGATCATGTACTACAGGCTACCAAGATCACGAGAAAGTTATTCACAGCTCTGGGCCTCGTGATCAATGTCCTGAAGTCCTCCTTCACATCACAAAGGTCTCTCAAGTTCAATGGGGCACGATTAGATTCTACAACAGCCAGGGCCTATCTTCCTCTGGACAGATTCCACAAAATACAAAGCCTCGTGAACATTCTTTCCATCAGCCCCAAAGTCCCCATACTTACCTGCTTGCAACTCATGGGGCATATGGCGGCCACAACTTATGTGGTGCAACACGCGAGGCTGCATCTCAAATGCCTCCAACATTGGATAGCATCAATCTACCCCCCAGGAAACCAGGACGTTCACAGGCTAGTGGTGGCACTCCCGGTAGTGAGACACTCTCTGACATGGAGGGCCTCTTCTACTAACATGCTCTCGGGCATTCCCTTCAACTGGCCACAACCCATGATACAGATTACAATAGATGCGCCTCTTCTAGGTTGGAAACCCCACTATGCAGGAGATCATGCTCAAGGTCAATGGACTACATGGGAAGCTCTTCAACATATCAATCTTCTAGAACTCAGAATGCATGCAAAATATTCCTACCCACAATTCGTGGTCATACTATTCAAGTCCTTACCAACAACACGACCACAGCTTACTATATCAACTGTCAGGGTGGAGCCAGATCCAAATCCCTCTGTGCAGAAGCCACATGGCTATGGAATTGGTGCATTTGCCATGGCATCAACATCATTGGTACATACCTACCGGGCAAGGACAATACCATTGCCGACACCCTCAGCAGGCACTTCTTTCTTCAGCATGAGTGGGAACTCAGCCAAGATGTAACACACTTTCTCTTCCCATTATAGACCTATTTGTGACACATCTTAATGCGAAGTGTCCAAAATACTGCTCCAGAGCAGGGCTGGGACTGAAGTCCCTTTGGGATTAGCATCGTCCCTGCTGGATTAGCATCGCCACCTTCTCTACGTCTTTCTGCCAATTCCACTTCTTCTGAAAGTACTGGAGAAGATAGCCATGGACAGAGCCACAGTCATACTTATAACCCCGTTTTGGCCCTTCTCCTGCAAATATCCCTACGACCTCCATACCACTTGCCAGAATGACCCGATCTTCTGACGCAATGAGGGCTGGCCATGATGCACCCTCAAATTTATCGGCTACACCTCACAGCATGGCTCCCAGCTGGTTCTACCGAGCAGAAGTCATCTGTTCTCAAGAGGTGAAGCACATGCTAATGCACAGTGGATGCAATTCCACACGAACAACTTACCTTTATAAGTGGCGTCGATTCCACACCTGGTGCACTGCCAATAAACTCGATGCTCTTTCCATCCCTATTCATTGTATCCTGGACTACGTACTACACCTTCAGCACTCGGGCCTGGTGTTACCGACCATCAGAGTTCATCTCTCTGCGATCTCTGCCTTCAGACAACCGATGGAAGGTTACTCAGTATTTGCTCACCCCATGACCAAACGACTTTTAAAAGGTCTCGCAAACGTATACCCTCCGCACAGAAAACCCCTGGTACTTTGGGACTTGTAGCTAGTCTTGGACACTCTCACGTACCCACCGTTCAAATACCTAGCCACCAGGGACATGGCTATACTCACGATGAAAGTCGTCTTCTTGCTAGCTATCACGTCGGCACGTCAGGTGCGTGAGTTGGCTGCTTTCTTGGCCACTCCACCTTACACTCTGTTTACCAATCATGGAATAATACTACAATCCCACCCTAACTTTTTATGAAAATTGAACTAGGAATTCCATGTCAATGAGCCCAAAATACTCCCAACCTTTTATCCCAAACCATATGCCTCTTGCCATGAAGCCCAACTACATACCTTGGACGTGCGTAGAGCATTGGCTTTCTACCTTGAGAGAACACGTCACTTCCGACGGTCACAAAGTTTGTTGGTATGAACGGATGAACAAACTAAATGCCAACCCTTAACGTCACAGCGTATTTCTAAAATAATTGTGAAATGTATCGCATGATGCTACTCATTACACATCCCCATCCGTGCCCTGGAACACCAGGCCTTCCAGTATATCAACCGCAAGGGGTATTTCTCTGTCATCCTGCAGGCCATGTCTGACCACTAATGCCAGTTCACGGACATTAATGTGGGCTGGTCCAGCAAGGCACGTGACACCAGGGTGTTTCTCAACTCCTCTATGTGCTGGAGGCTGCATGCCGGGACCTTCTTCCCTGACCGCCACATGAGGGTTGGGGATGTGGACAAGACTGTCTGCCTGGTGGGGGATGCGGCCTACCCCCTACAGCCCTGGCTAATGAAGCCCTACATGGGACACCTCAACCCTTCCCGGCAGGCCTTCAATGACAGGCTCACTAGGGCCCACATCGTGGTCGAGGGGGCCTTCGGCTGACTGAAAGTCCAATTCTGGTGCTGCCTCACCTACCTCGACCTCGCTGAGCACAATATCCCTCCCATGGTGGCAGCATGTTGTGTGCTGCACAATTTCTGTGAGTGGAAGGGGGAGGCTTTCCTGCCAGCCTGGATGACTGAGGCTGACTGCATGGCTGACCAGTACGCACAGCCCCGCACTGCCGCCAGAGGGGGACTGTCCAGATCCGGGAAGCCCTGCAGGAGAGCTTCCCTGTGGAGGAGGACTGAACTCTCTCTGCATGCCCCACTGGGGCCTTCTTGCACCCTCACTTCCTTTCATAGGCATGCGCATGGGGTGTGCATGGGGTGTGCTGGGTGTGCCGCTTCGGCGCTCTGGGAAACGGACGCTGCGCCGGGTTTGCCGCGCATGTGCAGCTAAAACCAGCGGGTCTTCGGACCCCACAGAAAGAGGTGGCAGGGATGCAGCAACATCACCCGGCCACCCCATCAAGTGGGCAGGAGGGGGGGGGC